TTTAAGCAAAATGACTTAAAATGAAACCAATTTTACCATATGATAATTAATGTAAACAAGTGTTAAGTTCCTAGGGCATCTAATCAATATTATAATAAAAGGATGTTATTCAAGGATCTGCTATATTTAAATAATGGCTTACTGTTTCCAAAGTTTCTACATGTATCTCTTATCTCTCCCAATGAGATAGGTAAAAGCAACAGGATGAAGATGTGAAAATGATTATGGAACTTTATAGAGATGGGTTGCAAATTCCTCCCTTGACCAAACTTTAGTTAAGGCCTGAACTTAGGCTTCCATCTCCATTCTTATAGAGTCCAGTTTTAGCAAGAACCACATCAGGTTGGTTTTGCCATGTCCCCAGGTTTGATATCTGATCAAATTCCCTTCCCACCATCCCCCAGGTGACATCTGATCTCCCCACCCCCACATGTCTTCAGCAAGAATCCTGTCCAGTCAGTTTAGCCAGAATTTCTCTTACGCCAATGTTTCCTCTTAGTAATTCTCCATCCATTGACACCCAACCTGTTCCTTGGCTGAAATTCTCACTTGCCCAGGCTTCGTTCAGAACAGAGGCCAGTTCTAGACTGAGGTCACTTTCCCCCTATTGCAATCGTTCCAGAGTAAAATCTATTTTTACTGCTTTAACTACTGTCCAGCTCTGGTGTTTCCTGGGCAATAGCCATGGGTCAAGTCTTCTGAGTCCAAGTGTAGCAGAAAGCCTTGAGAGTCAGGAGGTGAGTCATGAGGTCCTGGATCTGCCTCCCATCAACAGGTTGTTTGATCTCAAACACTATACAAGAGGGTCAGTTATATGAAAACTAGACTTTGGGTGGTGTGCACTCAAGAGAATATAAATATATCAAATTATAATGTTATATACGTGAAATTTGTATAATGTTATTTACCAATGTTGCCTCAATTAATTTAATTTTTTTTAAAAAGTAATGCAAGTTCATTGTAGAAAGTAAAAGGAAAGAAATATATTTTCTCTTGGATTGAGGTTGGGATGCCAATCATGACTGTACCATGATTAATGATCAAGCTTAAAGCCAGCAAGTGCCCGCAGCCTGCCCATTTCAAGTCCATCTCTTCACTGGAACATTAGCATCAATATGCCCTTCTCACATTGGCTATGCCCAGCATTTATAGGAGGGGAGAAATAAAGTCATTTACCTAAAAAGTGTGAGCACATATGGGCAGGTTCAGTCCTGGCTTGCCTCTGTAATCTCGTAAAAGACTTTATTTTGAGGCAGTTGGTTTTAAGTACAGGATGGTAGGAATATGTTGCCTTTATAAAAATAAACATTCATCTACTTAAGTTTCATCCTTTGCACATGAACACAATAATGATGCCTCAGCTGTCAGCTGCTCCAAAGATTCCTTGCCACTTACTTAATTAGAAAACCCAGGCTTTCATTCTTTCTGGTAACTATCCTATATAATAAAAGAGTAATATGCAAATCAACTGAAATTCAGAACGACCGGTCACTATGATGCACACTGACCACCAGGGGGCAGACGCTCAATGCAGGAGCTGCCCCCTGGTGGTCAGTGCGCTCCCACAGGGGGAGCGTCACTCAGCCACAAGCCTAGCTGGTGGCTGGCAAATGCAGCGGCCCGCCTCCACAGCAGCGCTAAGGATGTCCAACTGTGGCTTAGGCCATCAGTCAGACATCCCTTGAGGGCTCCCAGACTGTGAAAGGGCGCAGGCCAGGCTGAGGGCATCACCCCCTCCTCCCCACCCCACCGCAGTGCATGAATGTCATGCACCCAGCCTCTAGTTTGTAAATGAAAAGCAATAACCTTCCTTATGTCACTTGAGCTCCTTTCTAATTTAGAAAGACCAGAACAGCCTCCCCTCCCCCAAAGTAGTTACAAAGGACGGCAGCTTATCTCATAAGCAATTCACAACCTGCCTCCACCCCAAACCAGCAGAGATTGGTCGTCATGCCCTAATCTCCTGCCCACATTGCTCTATTGCAGACACTATCACCTAATGATGAACACTGTTTTAAAAACCTACATAATCTGCTAAAGAAGGTCTCTGGATGTTTCCACTGACATAGGAAGAAACAGCCAGAAAGGATATATGCCCCTAAGTCTGGAATGGGTCAGTTTAGAATTATCAGAAAGTTCCATTTCTATTTCCTAGCTATGCTTCCATTATGACCCAGTTTTACCTTTCCCTATAAATGAAAGGTGTTTCATCGGTTCTCCTTAGGAGCTGCCGTTCTACACAATGATGCACTCCTGTTAATTAAGTGGAGCTAGTCTTAGCTAAGAACTATGGACTGTCCTTTTCATTGTCTGCTCAGAAATGCCTGTGACAACATATAGAGTACGAGCTAGGGCCCATTATAACCCTTATAGTCACTTTAACTTTAAACAATAAATTTCAACCTAACATTTCTTTAAAAGATATGGCTATTGTGGCCCTGGCCAGGTGTTCAGTGGTTAGAGCACTGAGCCAAAGACTGGAAGGCTGTGGGTTCAATTCCAGGTTAAAGGCAAGTACCTTGGTTGCAGGTTTCCCAGCCCTCGATGTGTCTCTCTGACATCGATGTTTCTCTATCTCTCCTCCTCCTCCCTCCCATCCACTCTCTCTAAAAATAAGTGGAAAAATATCCTCGGGTGAGGATTAAAAATAAAAACTATATTTGCTCTATATACAGGTTGTCCCAAAATAATGTAAAAAAAAAAAGAAGGTATAGGTACTATGAAAATCATTGGTATGCCTTACTAGAATTCCAAGGATTAAAACACTATGAAAATAATTTCATTATTCCTGGTGAATTAATAATTTATATACAATACTACTAATCATGTACCATAGTGAGGAAGGCAACTCACCCACAATCTCCTACAGTGGGAATATAGCCACAAATGTGTGTGTGTGTGTGTGTGTTCAAAATTAGTCCACTGTCAATGTGACTCTGCAACCAAATGACTATCCTCAGCATCCACACATTTATGATAAACCATTATGATAGCAGAAGTTGTTGGTACCTTACCCTGATCCCTTTTTTGGGCTGGTACACTCACCTTCCTCCCAGCCCCCAAATGTGAATGTCAGTTGCCAACCTTTTTTAAAGAACGATCCTCATTAACTGGAACAACTTCCCTGGAGATGCCTTGGAGTTTACTCAAGGCGCAGTCCCCCAGGAAGGAATGGGAGAAGCCTGCAGCCAATGACTGAATAACATGGGGTTTTAAAGGCTGGCCCCCTTACATCCCCCTGAGGCAACTCTGGGGTCTACTCATGCTCCAGAAGTCCCTATACCATCATCATTCTGAAGCTAAGTCTCACACACCCTTGTCCAGGCTCTTCTGAATTCCTCTCCTGTTTCCCTTGCTCCTGTAGAAACCATACCTTCCCCTAATAAATTTAATTTAAAAAAAATTAAAGACCATATCTGAGAGAACTCACTCAAAAATCACTTGCAGAGAAAGTATGTCTCCTGCTGTGCTTCTAGGAATTCCTACCAAAGGCACCAAGTAAGGAACAAGTCTAAGCACAGGAAATCACACCTGAATGTCAATGTTGGTAGCCCCTTCCTTTGGAAGTATATGTTTCTTATTTTGATTCCACAGTGCTGTTTTAGCACCAAAGAACAAGAACATTCCTGGTCTTTAAAGGCTCATAGTCACATAGACCAAATCTTACATAACCAGCAGGGATCATGGTCTAAGGAATAGTTGCCATGGAAAATATGCCTTAGGAATATACTTATTTGTATATAGCTTTTAGGAAGGCACTACTGATTTCTGATTAAAGACAAAGCTTGATCATTTAATTGAGAGTAGAATGGAGTTAAGATTAGAGAAGATGTCACTCTTAACACTCCTATTGAGCATTTACTGGAAGTCCTAGCTGGAGAAATCAGGCACTCAAAAGAAATAAAATATATAACAAATGGAAAGGAAGAAATAATTATCTCTATTTTCAGATTACATACTTTTATATAAAGAAAGTCCTAAAGACCAAACAAAAAATGTTAGATCAAATCAATGAATTCAATAAAATTGCATGATACAAAATTAACATAAAATATTAGTAGTGCTTCTATACACTACAACCAATTCTCTGAAAAGGGAATGAAGAAATAGATCTCATTTATGATAGCACCAAAAACAATAAAATACATTGAAAGAAATTGAACTAAGGGGGTGAAAGATCTCTACTCTAAAAACTATTAGACAATGATGAAAGAAATCAAAGTAACCAAAAAATAAAAAGGTATCCCACGTTCATAGATTAGAAGAATTAATATTGTTAAAATGTCAATACTATCAAAACCATCTGAATGTTCAATGTACTCCCTATTCAGATTCTAATGGAATTCTTAATGGAAGTAAAAGAATTTTTTTTTTCAAATTTATATAGAATTACAAAAGACCCCACATAGTCAAAGAAATCCTAAAAAAATATATCAAAGCAGGAGGTATCACACTTCCTGATTTCAAGCTATAGTATCAAACTATAGTAATTAAAGCAGCATGGTATTTGCATATAAACAGAGAAATAGACTAGTGGAAGAGAATGAGAGTCCAGAAATAAACCCAACCATATATAGTAAACTAACATTTGAAAAAGAAGCCAAGAATACTCAATGGAGAAAAAAAAAAGTTTCTAATAAATGATGCTGGGCTAATTGGATACTCACATATAAAAGAATGAAACTGGACCCCTGTCTTTCACCAATGACAAAAATTAACTCAAAATGGATAAAAAACTTAAATGTAAGATCTGAAACCTTGAAACTCCTAGAAGAAAACATAAAAATAAAGCTTCTTGACATGAGTCTTGGTAATAATGTTTGGCTATAACAACTAAAGCACAAGCAACAACAACAAAATAAACAAGTGATACTACATCAAACTAAAAAGCGTCTGCACAGCAAAAGCAACTATTTAAAAAAAATCAAGAAGTTCATTCTGCCACATTTCATTCACTTCCATCACTTCTGACAGTCTCTGGTCAGACCTAAGACACCAAGATGGTGAAGCAGATCCAGAGCAAGGATGCTGCTCAGGAAGCCTTGAACAGTGCAGGAGGTAAACTTGTAACAGTTGACTTTTCCACCACGTGGTGTGGGCCTTGCACAATGATCAAGCCCTTCCTTCATTCCTCTCTAAAAAGGACTCCACTGTGGTATTCTTGAAGTATATGTGGATGACTATCAGGATGTTGCTGCAGAGTATAAAGTTAAATGCATGGCAACCTTCCAGTTGTTTAAAAAAGTACAAAAGATGGGTGAGTTTTCTGGAGCTAATAAGGAATAAATTGAAGTCACCATCAATGAATTAATTTAATAATGTTAACCAGCCATTGGCTCCTGTAATTTTTTTATTTATAAAAAAAGAAAATAGATAAGGTATAGAAACTACCAGTATATACTCAACTACCATCAGATTATAAATGACAATAAAATATTCATTCTATCCCTTTTTTTAAAAAAATAAAGCAAGTTAAAAGACAACTAAGAAATGGGAAAAATATTTGCAAACTATATATCTGACAAGAGGTTAATATCCAAAATATATAAATAACTCATATAACTCAACAGCAAAAAAAAACCAACCAACCCAATTTTAAAAAAATGAGAACAGGCGTTGAACAGACATTTCTCTAAAGAAAATATACAAAAGGTCAATGATGACTCTCTCTCATCATTGATGTTTCTATCTCTCCCTCTCCCTTCCACTCTAAAATCAATAAAAATAAATATTTTTAAAAGCAATTACATCTAATTTAATACATATTTATTGATCACTTACTCTGAGACAGGTATTGAGTTGGGATCTAAGGATTCTACCAGGATTAAAACATGATTCCCTTCCCTTAATACATTTATACTACTTCTAGCTCTAAGCGAAATCCATTAGATGTTAATGGTAGCCTGTTGTACTCATATCCATTGGAAATAACCTGGGGACATTAATTTGAAAGAAGTTTATGTTGGGAAATGTTGTATTAAAAACCCAATGGAGAAATAGGTGAGTCAAGTTGTTTCCTGTTTCCAAACCATAAGTTGGTGTACCAAGCCATAGATGACGACTCCTCTGGGAAGCAGACATGTATTTTTAAACTTCTGAGATTGAAGAGTAGCTTGAATAGAGCAGCCAAAAGGAACAGCCTGTCCTGTTATGACTCATTTGAGAAACTTCCCTTTTTATGCCATTTCAAACCTGAATTTTCAGACTTAAAATTCAGATTGCCTTTAAAGTAGATGTGATATTTGGATAACTTTCTTTTCATGAAATGTCATGTCATCGTATCATAGGCAACATGGCTTCTGTTTCTATCTAACTCTTTTGACAATCATTATATTTAATAGTTTTTCCAAGATTTGGATAAACTGCCGAGCAATGAGCTACTAATAGTAACATCCTACTTTACATGAAAGCACTTTCACATGCATTATCTCCCAGGAAGTTGGGAGAGTCAACCACTAACTATATCTAAATAGTTGCTTATCTTTTCATGGGATATTACTTATTTTAACCATTTTTTATTTCCTTTCCCCCATTCCTACTACCCAAAGAGAGGCTTTCTTATCTCCTACTTGGGTTTTTTGCAATAGCCTCATAACTAGTCCCCATTTCTTAGCTTTTATTCTCAATATTCCTCATGCACAGCTCTGGCCATATCATTTCTCTACTGATTGGTGCTCCTTGCCTAGCAGAAAGAAAGTCCAGACATCTTATCTAGTCATTCTGGGACCCATCTTATATTTCCAATACCAGATCCTACCCATCCTTCACTCTGAAAAGGAGCAGAAAAGAGACTGGAGTATCTCTCCAAATGCAGAGCGTGACTAGGACCTTTTGCCCTCAAAGCCAGAAAAGATAATTCAATAAGAGGGACACCCCCGCTCCAGGCACACACATTTATGAAAGCTGAGCCTTATGGTGAAGCCAGAGTCCCACCTGAACCCAGCTTTGTCTTTCAAGATTTCAGGAGCTTTTTCCAGAAAGGGCTGAGGTCAGACCAAGGTGATGCTAACATCCCACCAGTAGAAGCAATGTCTGGGTAGGTCCAAGAGTTGTGGGGTCACTTCAGTCTCATGCAGTGTAGCCAGCCACTAACAGCTTATTATGGGAGAACAGCAGCCATGTGGGAATTTTTAAGATCTATAGAAACAGGGCAGAATCCACTTTAAATAATACATATACACTGAGTGGCCAGATTATTATGACCACCTGACGTTTGTAGGCAAATTAGCCATACACTAAATCGTATGGGATATGGAAGTGAAGGCCTGTTCGAACACCTTTGCTGTCTGCAGTTACCAAGATAAAAGATCTCCAATTCGCACAGGAACACAAGGATTGGACAGTCAAGTATTGGAAAAAAGTCATGTGGTCCAGTGAATCACGTTTCCAGTTGCATCATGCAGATGGCAGAGTGAGAATTTGGCGGAAACAGCATGAAAGTATGCACCCCACATGCATGAGTAAAACCCTTCAAGCTGATGGGGGCAGTGTTATGGTTTGGGGCATGTTTTCCTGGCATGATTTGGGCCCTTTAATTCGTGTGGAACAACATCTGAATAGCACAACATACCTAAGTATCATTGCTGATCAAGTTCATCCTATCATGTTGATGGCATATCCCAATGGAGATGGCTTCTTCCAACAAGACAATACGCCATGCCACGGTGCTCATATTGTGCAGGAGTGGTTTCAAGAACATGAGGGAGACTTTACCTTGCTTAGGTGGCCCCCACAATCACCGATCTTAATCCAATTGAGCATTTGTGGGACAAAGTTAAAAGAGCCATCAGGCAGCTGGTTCCACAACCATCAAATCTCACAGAACTGGACAGTGCTCTTCATCAGGCATGGTGTCAGATTCCTCGCATCACCTTTCCACATCTCGTGGAGTCAATGCCAAGAAGAATCGCCTCATTATTGAAGGCAAAAGGTGGCCCAACAAAGTACTGATTGGGGTGGTCATAATAATCTGGCCACTCAGTGTATAATGCAGTGCAACAGCAGTTGGCTTGGAGAAGTTAATAAATGACCCCTGTGAAAGGCCCCTGAGAGATGGTTGTGGTGCTCAGGCAGGCCCACGCCTGTGCTGGACTGGCTGTTCCCAGTACCTGAGGAGCTTGTTAAAAATACTCATTTCCAGGACCCCACCTTAGAGATTCAGACTCAGTAATTCTGAGATGATGCTCTGAATTCCAAGTTTTTAACAAGCTCCCAGGTGATTTGGAGGCCCAGCCAGCTTTGGGAACCAGGATGAGCCTGCTCTACAAGTCACCCCCTCAGAGGATGCTACACTCTCCCTCAACCTGGCTCTCAAGCTAATTGGGCTGTTGAGGAGTCTCTTAAGTATCAGCTATTTGTTTTATAAGTTCTTCTAGAGCAGTGGGCCCCAACTTGTGGGACCATTAGAATCATCTGGAGCCTAAGTTTCAAAGTCTAGGCCACAGCCCAGCCCTGTTATCATGATCTCTGGGGCACGAGACACATCAATATTTAGGCTCCCTGGGTGATTACAAAGTGCCTGTAAGCTTGGAAACCACTGCTCCATAGTCTTGCTAATCAAATAGTGGCCCACAGACAGCAGAATCAGCCTCTCCTGTAACCTACTTAGAAATGTAGAATCCCGGGCCCCTTCCCACCACCAAATTAAAATCTGTTGTTGTTGTTTAAATATACATATTTTTTATTGATTTCAGAGAGGAAAGGAGGAGAGATAGAAACATCCATGAAAAAAGAGAATCATTGATTAACAGCCTCCTGCACACTCCATTCTGGGGATCTAGTCTGCAACCCAGGCATGTGCCCTGACTGAGAAGCAAACAATGACCTCCTGGTTCATAGGTCAATGCTCAACCAGTGAGCCACATTAGCCAGGCTAAAATCTGTTTTTTAACACATTTCCATGTAATGTGCATGCATATTCCAGTTTGAAAAGCCCAATTCTAGATTTTACTCTCTCCATTTGTTTGTAGGTACCAAGGTCAGTTCTGTAGAGCCGGCCAGGGAAAAGAACCATAGTGCTCCCCAGCAGATAACCAAGTTCACATAAGCCAATGAAAAGAAATCATTTTTCAATGTCTAATAACCGCAGGAGGATCCTGCCAGCCACCTCAGCTATTCAGCACTTACAGACACCACGTGTTGACTCCACATTTCCATTCATTAACTATCAAAGCTAAAAGAGCCCTGAATAAGTTGATTAATTTGTGGGATGTAGCCTCAGTCCAGCTTGGTCAGTCTGAATGAAGCCACGCCCACCCAGATGCTGCTGGCCTCCCTCCTGTGGAGGACACACCTAGGGGATAGCAGCTGTGACTGCTGAGCTGGCTGAGGACTCGGGAGACAGAGCAGGCAAATTGCCCACACTGCTCTTTTCCTGGGAGAAATGGGAGGAGAGGTTCGCAGACACCTTGCGTGCAACACCTGACTCGGAAAAAGGCGACCTGCCGAGGAAATCTCTGACAAACGTGGACTCAGGAACAAAAGTCCAGAGCAGAATTATTCCTGCTGTAATTGCCAATTTGTCGCTGTCAGCTCGGCAGCCATATCCAATTTACTGTGCATAAGCAGCCGTGCTAGTCAAGCGGGGTTGGGGGGGGGGAGGCCTGGAAGATTCTATCAACCAATGAGCAGGACCCTCACATGAGCCACCCTGGGTCAGGCTTGGCCAAAGGATGAATTTGTCCTGAAGCAGAATTTCTCTGCTTCAGGGTAGTATGAGGAGCAAGTGAGATTGTCTTTTCAGGACACTTTAGACGGGACAATTTTATTATCCAGTTTATCAGGACACTTTGTAGGGTGACGGGGAATGACCCTTATGGTTCTGCACTCCCTGTTTGCAACTCAGAGAGGGAATAAGACCCATGTTTCTTTCCTCTCTATTTTGCCCACTCTAGCATCCTTTGTAGATGTTTTATAGATCGCCAGTAGCTGGAAACTTCTGAAGATTGGCCAAAGAAATCAAGAAGAAGTGTGCCTAGTGAATTGTGTGCCAATGATAAGTTGGGGAGCAGTGGGAGCCCAGGCCGAGCAGTAGAGTCACGCTACACCCCTCTTTAGCAGCTTTAGAGCAGGGGTGGGGCAGCTTTTTTCTGCCAAGGGCCACTTGGATATTTATAACATCATTCGTGGGCCATACAAAATTATCAACTTAAAAATTAGCCTGCTCGAACAGACTGTCAAACTACAGCGGGAAGGCTGGGGAGGGTTGGGGGGCAGGAGAGGGTGGGGTAAGAGATCAACGGAAGGACTTGTATGCATGCATATAAGCATAACCAATGGACATAGGA